CGGTCATTATCGGCCGATATTCACTCTTAATAGTTTGATCGGTGCTCTCTATAAAGGCCGATCAGGAGAGCTGGATCTGATCGATATGGACATAAACGCGAGTGAAGTTTTAGCGAGCTGCATGAGAAACTGACGGGCTGTCAGGAGAGAGGGAGAGAGGAAAATAGATGATCCTTACTCCCTTGTTATTAGCCATCCGGTCATAGTCCGGTAATTACCTGCTAACGGAAACTCTGCTACACAATTCTTCTTCTTCTTATTATTATTATTATTGAAACATGACCGGTAAGTTTCAAATTTGTCCGGTAAAATAAATTCTGTCCACCCTGCTCCGGACAGCGCAAAATGCGTATATGAAGTGTCATGAACGCAAGAAATCTACCCTCGTGGGCACGCGCTCATGTGATTGGCTTAGAATTGAGGAGACATCTGATTGGCTATAGATAGAAAAAATTACAAGTACGAATCGGGTGACCGTCAGGGGAGTCTCAAAAAACCCACACACGAATGCACAGCGATCCATGCACAGAAAGCGGTTTGTGTTTGCAGGTTGAGGCGATTTAAACGGAAAACAAATATGTGAGGATCAAAATACATATGTAAAACTTTTTTCTGTATTTGGATTTTATTTACATGAATATGAAACGGAACACATTTGTGTGTGCATTGAAAAACACAAGTGTGGATCATGAAATACAAGTGTGAATCCTTCTGTGTGCATGTGTGTATTATGAGACTGTTCTGAGCCCATCATTTCTTGGCCCTTAGAAAAACAATTATTTAACAATTTTGTGAGCAATATACCCATTATTTTCCTCTACATGGACAGCATTTATTGTCCGCCAAACTCGCCAAACTTCTGATGTAGTTTCTTAGCTAGTTCCCACCATAGTGTGGTTTTAACACATTAACCTTTCAAACAATAGTACTCTCAACCTTAAATTCAATCCAAACCACTACATGAGCACACACAAGTCTAACATATATATTTTAGAAAGTTAGAAACTCCAGTACAGGATTACAGATATCCCTCAACATACATGCTCCTCATCTGTTCTGGTTCATGCTGAGCTGAGCTCTCTCACACTCGATGACCTTGATCCCCGGAGCTCACCTCACACGCTCCACTGATGAACTAGGACAGTAAAGCGCAAGCTGGTTGATGATTCGGGAGGGGGAGGGGGGGTTAGCTGAGGACAGTAAAGATAAAGCGGTAGGAAGTGGGGGGCTGAATAACAGGACAGTGGATCACGCAGGCTTATACTGTAGATAGCAGTGAGTAACACAAGGTCAACTCTGAGGACACAAAGCTACGTGGGCCTTTAAGGCTGTTGAGTGAACGTTTTTACAGTCAGAGATAAGAGACAGATGGATTTAGATGGTAGCCGGATGCAGTCTTGGGGTGTTTCTCAATCGCGAGTAAAGCTGCTGCAGAGCCACTATTTCAAGCATACTACGTCATCGAGTGCCGCCAAAGTACTGTTCCAATCTCCAGCATACTTGGAAATCTACCGAGCCCGGCGTACTCCGTTTGGAGAAATATCGAGGCTGCACATGAGTAGACTTCGCGGTCTTAAAATCCCCACAATGCTTTGCGCACGGACCAATTTCCCCAAATCTGTGGCGGAAGATGTAAGGCGGGGCCTCTCATATGACGCACACCTGCACACTTGGTAGCCTGTTCCACTCTTTGTTTTCCAAATGTCAGGAAGTATTCTTAACTCGCTTCTGAAGCAAGATGCTCGGCAGACATGTGCTACCAAGCTAGCGTACTTGCGATTGAGAAACACCCTTGGTCTCAGAAGTGGAGGAGGTGGGCCCAATGAAGTCAGAAGTTGTCAAAATTGACCAATTTAGAAAAAAAAGGACCGTTTGGACTAAGATACAGCTCAAATCAGTAAAAATATGATCATGTCTTTGTTCAAATGCAGTTGTTTTTATGAAAATATGCTATGCAAATGTATCCCACTGTTGAGTCATATACACATTCCAGTTTTTATGCCCCAAAACATAATGTAGATAGAAAAAAATTTTTATTTCTGAATGAATTTTGTCAGTCAACTGAGTGTCGCAAAGGACAAAAAAACGACAAAAGCAGCAGCCTTATCTTTTTGTAATTTTCAACTCACCTGTTTTAAGTAAGATGGACAGTAAGAGAGCACTCAGAGAGAGATGAATAATTCATACAGAATTTAACTGAACATTTGTCAAAGTGAATAGGTTAAAAGTTATGGAAATGTTTTTTTTTTTTTTAAAAGACGACAATTCAAGCATCCCGTAAAACTGACTAGAGACGACAGAATGAAAGATGAAAGTGAAATGGGCAGATTAATATTTGATGCATGCCCATTGAATATCTGGTTGTGCACAATTTAGCATCATTTTTCAGACCCGGGCTGGAATACTGACACAGTGACAGAGACATAAACTATTGATGCAGGAGAATAGTGAACACACACATCAAAGATCAGATCAATGGGGCTTCTACAGAACGTCAATGGACATGCCTATGGCAATTCGACCCAACACAGTGAGGTACTCTCCGGCCATTTTAAAACTCAATGGATGGCCTGATGTGCTGTCCATACTTTAATGATCTAAGACTGTGGGGTTATTGTCTGGGAACTAACGCTAAAACATCCTTTAATCACTTTGTAAAACAGTTCTCTACTTTCTGTAAAGGGACATGGACACCCAACCAATTATGACATTTCACATATTAACCAATATAAACCCAAAACCTGCCATGGGTTTGGAAACTCGTGGTTTCATGACAAAAAAAAGTAATACCATTTATTGAAGGCAGAGACTAAAAAAACAGACCTAGACAGTTCTTGATCTTAGACAAACACATCTTTAAGGAAACATAACATATTCTAAGCTTTATACGGTGACATTTCTAGAGAATCTTACTTATGTCTTAAAGAAATTAGTTTTGTTCTCATTTGTTTGAAGAACATGTGGAGTTCCCATTCTCACAAGCTGCCCTCTTTTGAAGCTTTACATACATATAGAAAACATCCTGTAAGACATGGAGGTCAAATGAAATGGTTTCTGTTTGGCCTTTGCAACCTTATTCCTAAAGGTGTTGAATTGGAGGGAACTGCTTACATGTACAGTATGGGAAGTGTTTAAATGAGAAGCCACAAGCCTGTACACAGTTTACAGGGACTTGAAAGTGAGACAGATACGTTCTGACAGTTCAACGGGTCCTTTGAATGCTGCTGACCTTGCCCTCCAAGCAGTATTACTAAGAAGTGGATGAGGAGACCCTTTAGAAAGGTTAACTGGGGTCAGTGAACAACCATATTGTGTAAGCGCTCTGCTGGATAGTAGCAGCCTGTTTGTGTTAGATCATACACTACATCGACCCATACAGGACATGTGTCATATGCCCATGTGCGCATCCTGTAGCGAAAGCAGTAAGAGTCAGACTTTTGCTTAACGCTCCAATACGCACCATGTTAGATGTTATTACAGCAAAATGTCTATGCACTACTACCAATACCACTGATAATCAATAGTTAATTCTGTATTTCATTGTTTTGATGCCACATTTCAACAAATGTCACCAACCTTCCCTAATGAAAAGCATGAAAAGTCAGTTAGCAAGCCACCTCAAACAGGGCAATTGTACACGAACGGCTGAGCACAGAATGACGGAAAGCTGAAAAAGAAAAGTCCTAGGTGAAGGGGGTGAAACATCCAGAAAGCTGAGGGACCAAGAGATTTTAAATTTGATAAATTGAAGGTAAGAACCAGATGTAGAAGGGAAGTGGACTTCCATTTATCACAAGGCGAGAGGTTTTAGTATTCAACATCACACACAAGGGGGCACACCTCCTACACCAAATGAGAAGGGTTATAGGTGTTTTATCATGATGAAAGGTAGACTTCAACAACAACCCTTGGGTTTGTATCAGTCTTTTCCATTTTGTGGCAAAAAAAAGTAACATTTTAAATGAAACAAATATTTAAAATGTAGGAAAATCAAGCTCTTTAAGATAATAAAGAACAATTATAACCAATTTCCAAGATAATAATGTAGGTAAGATCATTTTGAGGGAATATAGTTTGGTATTGGTATTGGTATTTGTTAATGGCCCTAATACCTTAGAGCTTAATAAATTGTATCTTTGGGAACTTACATAATAAAGTCATAATCATTGATCCCCATGAGGCAGTTGTGTTTTCACATCAACAGTTCAAGCACATATTAGTAGTTAGGAAAGTTGGTCCAATTACTTAAACAGAAGAGTTTGAACCTAAGCTAATATTGCAATATTTAATTTACATTCAGATTTCTGAGATTGAAGTAACACAGAATCAGTGTGACTGGCATTGAGGTCGAATATGTCTTGATTTCGACAGCATAGAGCAAAATAGTCAGTGTGGACAGGCGTATAAGGGAGCAGTCAGCATGTTGTGTTGTCTTTATTAATGGCAAGGGACGTTCTCTCCGTCACTCTCTCTGTCTCTTTCTCCCGCCTCACCCTCCTGGCACAGTTCCTAATGGGCACACTCCATCTACACTCATTACTCAGATGGATAAAATGGCTTTTCATGCAACGCCATTGAGTCACCAAGCGCCAAACTGATTGAGCAAATGAAGAGAAATTAGAAACCCATTCCAGGCCTGATAATTCTCTCAGCTCCACCATTATCTGTGAGAAATGAGAACCCCTGCGTATAATGTAGCATCCTGACTCAGACAGTAGTGTTTATGATGTACTTCTACTGTACTGCAGCACTGTTTGAGTGACATATGGAAATGTGTTGTTGGTTATTTAGTGGCCTTGCAAGTGGCTAAAAGCTGCAGCTAATTGCCTAAAAATGTAAATTGACTTGTAAATGAGCGCCAGATGTTAATAGCCACCTCCATCTTAATGCAGGCCCACAAGCAAATGTGGAATACATTCAGCCAAATGGTTTCACAGATACTCTTGAGTGCTTTTGGTTGTTCAAATGATAAATGAGAGAGTTAAAAATGAGACACATACCTGATGCCTTTGATTTGTGCAATGCTGTGGTGGGAGATCCTCGAAAGAGCGGAGATTACCTGAAACAAACAAAGAAAAATACAGATAAACATACAATTCCATATTGAAAAAAAACATCACTGTTTCAATTTTTCTTCCGCCTTTCTCTTATCAGTGATAACTTGATTATACCGTAATATCTTTTGCATTTTATTGTTATTATATGCAGCACTCCAAGGAAACATTTGGAATACTGGGAAGATAATGGGATAAAACAAACAAACAAAACAGTAAAAGAAGCACAATAAAAACAGTCAGCGACACATGTAATAAAAAGATAAGCAGCATTAACTTTAACAGTAACTACAAGAAAAACCATGAGGGGCCAAACAATAAGAATATCAATTAAAATTAAAATAAACACAGTCGAAGGCGAATATTAACTGTAAAAACTAATCATCAGAGACAACAATAAAAATCAACTGTAACTACACATATAAAGGTAATAATCAACAACACAAGTACAAAACAGGTTTAACATCAAGGTATCAACAAGTTAAACGTCTAGGGCAGGGGTGTCAAACTCAAGGCCCGGGGGCCAAATCCGGCCTGTGACTTCATTTTCTGTGGCCCACAAAGAATATAATATGTTTATTATACGGTTACATGCCGATTTACAGAAGCACGTAGCCCATAAACTACATGTCCCACAATGCATCTCAAATTAGCCTTTTTTTCCTCAGCATTTTACTATTTTTCTTCAAAATATTCATTTTTTTAGAATTTGCCTTTTTCTCAGAATCTGACTTTTTTTTCAAAATTTCACTTTTTTTTCTTTTCTTTTTTCCAGAATTTGGCTTTTCTTTTGAAATCATTTTGTCAAATGCTCACTGAAGAGACTTGCAATTATTTGCCCTAGACCTCTGCTTTCAGACATAGTTAATTATGAAGTTATTACCCTATCCGATAATAATCCAATGCAGAGGCAATAATGTAATATAATACATTATTTTATATATATTAAATATTTATATATGTATTTTTATATAGTCTTATATATAAAACTGGCCCTTTGAGTGCAGCCAGGATGCTAATGTGGCCCAAAATGAAATTGAGTTCGACACCCCTGGTCTAGGGCAAAAAAACTTCATAAGTAACTAAAGATTGAGTCGTCAGATGCAAACAATTAACAAACAACAACAAAAGTAACACAAAGGGTAACAGTCAAAGCACCAATCAACTACAAAAGTAACCACAAAACAAGCCATCAAATGAATGGATGAATATTAACAACTAACATCAAAAGTAACTTAAAGACAGCAGTCACAGCGACACAAATAACTAGCTAACAAGTCATCAGAAGCAGATAATCATCAACTAACAACAAAAGTAACAAACAAAAAAACAGTCAAAGGCACCAATCAACTACTAAAGAAATGAAGTCCACAGAGGAACGGCTATTATCAAACTACTTTGTATGTGCTACCAGTTTAAAGAAAGTATGTTAATTTTAGTTTAACATTTACTCTTCTTTGGGGCTGATTATCAGACATTACTTGCACGTTTCCTAGCAACCCCTCTTGGGCGTATGCAGTGCCACGAAGGACTGTGTGTAAACATAATGCAGGCCAACATGTTAATGGTGACATTCAAAGACATGTGGTGCACAGTCACGGATGGATGGGTACCACTTTGGTTACATTACACAACAACACACACATCTAGAGTCCATCCATCTTTTCCTTATTTTACCTAACTTCAAATATTCAATAGTCTGTCAACCCTCCAAACTTCCCCTTTCTTTTTTTTGTTTTGTTGAAAAAAAAGGTTTAATGTGTGCATGTATTTATTTAAGCTGATCTAATGCTGCTTATGAGCCACGCGCAAGTGGCTTTATGGCTGAGGACTACAGATGGCGTGCTTGCAGAGTCTACAGAGGCTAGTTCAGGATGATGAGGGAACCACCTTCAAACTCACACACACACCAAAACGCAAACCCCGTCTCCTACGCCTCATTACCCTCTCCTGGGTGTATTTCGGCTTGCGACGCCGTGGCAATGCCAGATGTCTCCTCGACAGGGAGGAGAAAATTGTTATCTCAACCCCACTTACTCGGCAGGTGTGTCATCTATAGCCTCTCATCAAAGTCCCTCTTGTCTAAACACACAATGCGACCATCTCATCCTTTATGGCATTTAACATTCAAGATGAGCTAATGGCTGTTGTGAAGAGCAAACCACCACTTTAGGACTGCAGGGTACTTATGTTGAAGCACTTTTGACCAATTCTCCCTATTCAAGTTGTTCTCATGTTTAACATAACCAGTTGTGGAAATTGGGGGGACTACATAGGGCACTATTATGGAGTGCGTACACATCACATTCAATTACATCTAACCTCTCAACGGAGGGAAACCTCAACGGGGCTATTGCTCGACAGCATGATAAGAGGTTATTTCACTGTATCGCTAAATACCCGTGTAATAGGCAGTCATGTTCATGCTTAATGGTTCCAATAAGGGGCCAGTCTACCATTACACACCTCCTTAACATATATTCCAACTGCTCTTATAGAAAAACAAAAAGGAAAGAGAGACAAAGAGGGAGATGAGAGCTTGGTAATTTAGCTCAATGTCTGTTTAGCCAATGGTTCGGGTGTTTGATAAATCACGGCGGATAAACCCATTGTTCTGCTGGGTGGCATGCTGCCCACCTGGCAATGCTGCAAGGAGGGATCACATATGGCATCAAGTATGATTATATTCTGTCTTATTAGCCTACATTGTCTTTGTGGAACCCACACTAACAATTCTAATTAAAACATAACAAAAGCAAAAGAAAGAAGCAGCGAGATGGATATATTGGTGGATACATTCAGTGTTCAATAGCAGTTAATATTTTATGCCGGGTACTGGGACCAGATCCGGCTAAACTCAGCCAGGTTCAAAGGATAACAGAGCTTTTGGCTTGGAGCCAGAAAGGGTCGCAGCGGGGCCAAAGCCATGAATGTGCCAAAGCCGAACGTGCTAGCGTGACGTTCTAACATCACGGGATGAAGTCTATTACTATTAAATGTCTAGTTTACTTTACATTAAAGAGTTTGTTCTCATTTTTTGTTTATGTCAGAATCTTGCACGGCATAATGTGAAAAATATGTCTCAATACTGCGAGTGCCGTTCGTGACTCCCTCTGGCATCGGAGAAGAAATGCTAATTTGCAATCTGTCTTCAGGGCAGCTGGGGAAGTAAAAATGTGTTCTCACATTGTGATAAGTGCCTTTAAATTACACGTCTTATTTATCTATTTATGTAGAGCTGCAGACATACTGTAGTAGGGTAAACGCATGGTATTATTTTGTTTTATCTAATAACTTAAAGGAATAATACACCTAATAGATACATAAAAGTTGCACCTTACACGCCTGGAAGGTGAATGATTTGTTTTACCTTCAACATTTGTTGTGCTTTAAACTATAAAGGTACCTTTTTAAAACACTTTTTATGGAGCCGACTTGTTTAAACTGTCTCATAATACCATATTCCTCAAAGGTGGCATAGGTTATCAAAGGTTATTCCTGATTGTGCTTTTCTCTCTTTCCGTCTTTCTGTTCCCCTTTCTGCCTCTAAAGGCCGCTACACACCCACCTGAGACCAAATAACGTGTACCGAAGGCGTGCCGACTTTTACGTCAGCTTCGTCGCCTGCGTCCGCTACGCCGCCCGCCTACGAACACACCGCAAATACTTCAGTCGACGAGTGGCAATAACTGTCCTTACCAGCAGGCAGCGGGAGTGTGAACAGCCAATCAGAGTGATTGCTTGGGCCGACTTTCTCTGACCTCCGCGGGAGGCATCAGGAGGTGTGAAAAGGTGCTGTAAAGAGACGACGGTGCGGGACACACCAACCTGAGTAGGGCGCCGCGAATGCCCGACTGCCTCTGACGGCCTCTGACTCCAAAAATCGGGTTGGTGTGTAGCCAGCTTTACACAATCCCTTCTGATCCTGTGGTTCACTCAAAGCCTCTGAGTCTCTACACATTATTAATTTCCCCTTCATCTAGTTCTCCCTGGGGGGGTCTTAACACTGGTGCTAGCCAGCGAATAAAGCTTCTTCTACTCTTCTAGGAATATAGGAAGGACAAGTAACACGTTGGTAGGATAGCTTGGATTTCTAAAGCTCCTCAGCAATATCTTACCTTAATCACCCCCCCTCCCCAACACCCCCACAGCCCCTGGCATTCCCTCACCTAAATCTGACCCTTTGACACATGGTATAAGTCAGACAGCTTCACTGATGCTTGCTGTTTCTGCATGAGACTGACATGCAACATTTACGATCCATTCAGCGCTTAAGATGTTTGAATGCAAGGGTGTGTGTGTGTGTGCATGTGTGTGTGTGTGTGTGTGTGCATGTGTGTGTGTGTGTGTGCATGTGTGTGTGTGTGTGTGTTAGGGCAGGGATGAAGATTGTATCCATGGATTATCTGCAAGGATATGCCAAGTGTTTGCAAACACACACCACCCATACACATCTCCAGATTCCCCACATGTGGGCCCAGCTGGGGCCAAGCGGAGCCTTATGTGACCAGCCAATCAGAAGACCTACTGGGTTACCCTTGGCAATATGGCTAGACTGAATATGCATGGTCATCAATTACAATGTCAAATCAAATGAATCTTGCGGCCATATGCTATTAACGGTAGGAGTGCGGGGGTGTGATTTGATTAAGATCGGAAAACTTGCACGAGAGGGCTATTGACAGTCCATCAAAAGCCACACCCCCCACCGCCAGTTCTGTTTATATCTGATGCACTCATGGCGTGATTATATCTCGCACCGCAAATCAATTCATGCGTTGGAAGTCATCCAAAAAAAGAGGCTGAGTTAATGAACATTTCATCACATTACTGTTATGCATTTTCTCTCTCCCTCCCTCTCTCTCTAGGCTCTTCTTCCAACAGCCAACTCCCACAGAGAGTGAGATATTAATGGAGTATTCACACTTTGATAGGACAGCATTGCTCTGCTTATGCCAGCCTGCCAAAGTGGTAGGCACGAAGCGAAAAGGGGCACGGAGCGGGA